GTAAAAAAAAAAAAAAAAAAAAAAAGAATTACTTTTGATCTATTATTGGTATGCTTCCATATAATTACAGAGGACCCAGTCACCTTTGTTTAAGTACAGATATTATCTTGGAGTGCATCTTTTTAATCAGAGCTTTTATGTTTTTTGAATTTGAATTTTAACATTATATATCTTTTATGCTTTAAGTTTTCTGATTTATTTTCCCCATCTGATGTAGTGAGTTTCTTACTCTGGTTCATTTCTTGCGGTTTATTGACTGTACTTTGGTCGCTTGCCTTTGGACTTCTCGGTATGTTAACTGCTTATAAAGATTTTTTTTCTTCTTTTTTTGCTTTTCTAAGTCTTGTACTTCATGGTTGATTTTCTCACCCCCTCCATCCCAACAATTATTTCAGCCACTTTGCTTCATGCAAGCTTCAGAACACCTAACTTGAAAGCACGTCTAAACACATTCCGTGAGGAATTCCGTGCTGTCTGGCGCAATTATAGTGAACTGTAGTCATCTAGACTTCGTAGAATGTGAGTATATTCTGCCTTCATTTTTATACTTGCTGTTTTGAAGTTTGTTGCTTCAAATGCATCTCCAAGTGTGTATGCTATTAATTTTTATTTTTGTTAATTTCTACAAGGAATCGTTCTCTTTTGATTTCTTATATTTAGGGGTCATTGTGGGAATTGGGAAGTCTATGATGCATTTGTTTTGTCATCTTAAACCAGAAATTTGAAAATAAGGGATTAAATTAAAAAAGAACAAAAAAAAAAGTTTTCTAAAATAAATGATGAAATTGAATTTCAATTTAAAAAGTTTCTAAAAGTATGTTCATAAATATATTTGTAAACAACAAAAATAATTGTAGTCACTTACTAAATATTTAGCTTTTTCTAAAATATTATTAATTAATTTATTAACGTATTGATATTATAAATTTTGTAAAGTAACTATGATAATTTATAATATGTTATGCAATACTTGTTTTAATATTAACAAAACTGAAATGAGTTTTAAGCATGGAATAGTATATTTATAAAAGAACTTATAATTTGTAGTATAATTCTCCATTTTCAAATTTTGAATGTGAAGAGAATTTTCACCATTTGAATCACAAAATTAAAAAAATAGTTGTATAAGACAAATCTTTCAAACAAAGATTGAGTGAACTGGAACAAGTAATAGATTCTGCATTGCATATTAAACATTCGCTCAGAGCTTTAGGTCCAAGAACTGTCGATTTATTGGGTGTGATATTCATTGTTATTCTCCTATTATCTGTAGCCACTGTGGAGTTCTTGTAATCTCCTATCCTCAGTAGGGTGTATATCACATCTTTTTATCGACGGAAGTTCGTTAACCTTTTAAAATAAAAGCTATCATGTAGTCTTTGTGTTGTTAACTTTATGGCTTCTTTTTGGAAATTTATTATGTTTGAACTTTGAACTAGAACTTCACTGATGTTATGATTCTTGTTATATTCTCCCATACGAGATCACATCTAGTTGTTGGAAAATTAATGTTGCACATTAAAGAATGTAATGGATGGCGGTATTTGCTAATAATTGATAGGTAAAAGATAGTTGTGACAGTCCAAAATTTTAAGGCACTGCAATGATAGCGTGAGTTTGTATTTGTGTTACCTCAATTAGTTATTAGAGTATTATATTTAATTGATTAAATCTAAACTTCATACTGAAGTTCTGATCATTTTTCTTACAAAGATTCCCCCCTCTTA